TATTGGTGTATTAACCTAAGACATAATTTTCATTTACATACGTTCCTAGAAGGGCTGCCTTGTACTCACCTGAGTGCAGTGTGAGAAAAGCTCACACTCTCCAGTGGCTGTTTTGGTGTGCTGGTGCTTGCCTGGATCAGGTTCAACACATTAATGCCCTTCAGCACATGACCTCTGTTAATTCCATTCCATACACAGGTTTTCTTGGATAGTGTTGTCTCGTATAACTCAGCCTCAGCAGAACAAAATGTTAATGTTCTGCCGGTCCAAGCAATTCAAGCACACAGTGACTTGACTGCATTTCTTTTGTTGGGAGAAGCCAAGATGATCTGAGCACTGCTGGCATCCTGGTAACATGGAAACACCTGTCCTACTGGATGCAAATTTATTTTAATCACAGCACTATGTAAATACCCACCTTCCCATAGCACTGCACAGCATGGGCAACTCAGAAAATAACATTTTTCCATATGAATAACTCTGTGTGTCTGCAGTATGCCACAGAGTTGTTTTGCATAAGAAAATGAGCTGTTATTTTCCACCCAACCAAAGTATGCCCTTCAGGTGAAGTGTTTTGATTTCAAGAACAATCTGTCAAAATATTTTACAGCACTCTTGGCACCTCATATATAGGATTTCCAAGTACTATACAAATACAAAGCTATATTGGAAAAAAAATGGAAACAATTCTCAAGAAAGTGTGCAACCCCGAAGATTCCCATGTAGAACTAACTAGCAGATTAGTTGGCACAGCTTGTGTCCTGGATGAATATACTGTTATTTACATAGCATCAGACTTCACAAAACTTCATACAAGAAGCCCATCTAGCAGAAACATAAGGGTTGTATTATGACCTTGTGCTTGGAGACAGGTATAAATTGCACCAATGTGCAAGGAGAGGGAAAAGCTTCAGTATAAAACCAGAGGGAGCTTTTATGAGACCAGCCCTAAATTATCAGAGTACAACAAATGAAAGATAACAAGACATTAGCAAGAAAAAAAGTAAAAATGAAAACAAGCTTGGGTGGTGGATAGAGGAATACATTTCTATCTTCATAGAAAGCCACACAGGAGCTTAAAGGGCATTTGATTGAGGCATTTGACTAAAATGCAAAGAACAGAGTGGGATCTAGGACAAGCAGCTGAGCAAGGCGTAAGTTCATGAGCATATGAATCACTGATGGGAGGAAGATGATTTTATGCTATTTTATTCTCAGTTGAGGTCTTTGGCAGTATGCCTGGAAAGGGGAGGGAAATGCATTCAAAGCAGTAGCTAATTAAGGCAGGCTGAGCAACTGGGGACAAAAAGAAGAGAAAAAGGATCTGCCATTTGTGAGTTGCTTATAAGTTGTAGCATGTAAAGGCATGTAAGAGCCATATTACCAATTGCCTACTTTACTGGAAGACGGCAGTTGATCTTCTTTGAGATTAATTTATCTCATTTATATCAATTTATAAAATCTTAGATTTCATTCCTCTTGTTTCTTGTGAGTTCAAAAAATAATCACGTTATTTTTTGTTCAATAACAAATCCACAAGCTGAAGAAGACGTGTATTTCTATCTCCCTCAAGTTAAACAAGAACAGCAGATCACAATTAAGCTCATATAAAGCATCTAATTAGATGGAAGTATTGAAGCAGGAGACAAATCTTTGTGCTAATAGAAGTCAGCAGATTGTTTCTCTCATACTTTGCATCTTCACACATGTAAGGAGTAAAGTGCAGTGCTTATGTGGGTAAATCATGGTGTTGGTAAGAGGAACATTTTGGGAGCTCTTCCTGAAAGCTGAATGGCACATATAAAGAGCTGTTACACAAAGTAATCCCCAGTAGAAATGCCTGCCCAATAAGTTTTGTGTATGTATTATTTACACTAGGCCAGCTAAACAAGAGGATTTACATAACTATGGCACTGATTCTGCCAAAACTAGAGAAGCCTGACTATGTTTTCTGGTTCTCTAAGGTTCGTGCTGTAAATATGTCTGTGCAGGGTCAGCCCTGAGTCTGATTAATCCTGGAAGAGCATCACAGACTAAATCTAAGCCTAGTTCATCCTCCAGTACTGCAGTGGAGCACTAAACAGTAGAGCGTTCATTTTCTCTCACTAGAAGGAGCCTCTTCTAGAAAAAACCCTTTGCCAGATAATTATGTCATTTTGATTTATCTTTGTGTCCTTTGCCTTCCTTTCTCTGAGTTTATCTTGACTTTCTTTTTACAGTAGTTCCCATGGTATTAGTCTGCTGTAAATTCAGCTGCGGTTCATAATTATCTTTGAAAAACACACATGCATAAATAGCTACCAGGAATATATTATTTGTTTGTTTTCATTATAAAACTCATAATAGGGAGTAGCACTGATGGTTTTGAGGAAGGCCTCCCTGGAGATAAGCAGAATTTTCCATGTGTCTGTGAAATGAAATAAGGGGCGCCTGCTGACTTATATTTATCATTGCAGACTGTTCTGACTAACAGCTGGGCTTTTGCTAACAAAAGAAAAAAAGTCTTACTCAAGGTACTATATTTGTCATCTGTCTAGATTTTGGAACAGTATTAAATATATGGGATTTTTTCATTTATTTAGTCCATGGCAATCCATCCAAGGTACAGATTCTCAGCTGATAATGAAGGAACATAGCAGGGCAGAATCTAGTTGCAAATATCTGTGTTGCAAACAAACCCACTGTTAACACTCAGGTGGGGCTGTTCTCAAATCTGTTTCCTTTCTCTGACAAAGTTACTAATATGTGACACAGGAACATGCATATTTTAAATATCTGAGAACTGGCTTTCGTTGTCGGTGATGTATTAGAGATTCCCTGATCACAGAATCATCAAGGTTGGAAGAGACCTTCAAGATCTTCTAGTCCACCACCACAATCACCCCTAAACTGTACCCCCAAATGCCACATCCAGACAACTGTTGAACAGTTCCAGACATGGTGGCTCCACCAGTTTCCCAGGCACCTTATTCCAATGCCTAACCATTCTTTCAGTGAAAAAAAAATTCTAGTATCTAATCTGAACTTCCCATAAGCAGAAACAGGATAATTTCTGTCAGAATTGATTCCTTTTCAAGCATCAGACAAAGAGCAGAGGTAAATAATCTATTCAGAAAAAGATACTGATTTCAGCAATGATACTGGGTTAGAAAGTTGCCTTTCACTGCATTCATTCACATGACCCTTTGACAATGACCACGGAAGTGTAGACAGCTTGTGAAAAACGGAGGCTGTAAAGCTCCAAAGCTGCATCTGATAGTGCTAAAGGGACTGAAATACAGTGTCAGTGCTCCTAAGAACGGGTGAATTGTTCCTGAATCACTGTGCCCAGGTTCTGTCTGCTTACACTGTCAGGGAGAGCATGTGCCTGAAGTTTTGAGATCAGGGAAGGATAATGGAATGAACCAGCAAGGATCAGAGCCCTCATAGTTACAAACGTGTTTCTTCTCTATTCCCAGGGTAATGGTAAGGGCTTGGATATGGTTTCCAGGTCATTGTGGCTCAACAGCATTTCTTGGTGAGTTTGAATCTTTGTGCACAGTAACACTTTTTATTAAAATGGTAATTATTACAGCTAGTATTGAACTTTAAGTGAAATCTTCACACCTTTCTCATCAATGTACTAATGATAAACCAAATCCTGACAACTCCTTAAGTAGATCAGATTTATTGAAAGTCAGTAAAGCAGACACAGAAACCCTCAGATCAAGCAGTTCATATACTCTCTAAATTAGCAATGAACATAAAGTCCCATCCTTAGGAACTTCATCTCTTCTCTTTCACCACTTACAGAAAGGAGAAGAAAAGGGAGAAAACTTAAATTCCGTGTGAAGCAACTGAATATAGAAGCCATAGTTACAAATAAATCCTGCAGCCCCTTGCTAAACTGAACCAATGTTTAAACTTTAAGAACTGCCCCATGCTTCAAGGTATGTCTGCATCAATTCTGAAAGAGAAGGACAGGATAACTGTGTATGCTGAGTATGAAAAATATATGTGATTTCAATAGTAAGGAAATAAAAATGGAGATTTCTCCTTCCTCTTCTATAAAGTATAGAGAGTATATTAATGACCAATAGAACTGAAAGTTATTCTACCTGAGTCCAAGAGCTGTTAATTTTCAGATACACTTGCAAAATGAAAGACAGAGAAAATTTAGAACAAAGTCTGGTAACAAAGTTGGCATACCGTGACTATTTACAAATAAAAGTAGAAATATTATATATATCTATATATCTACATGGACATGACCTGATATTTAATGACACACATTGTGTTAAAATAACATTCTTGGCTCTTTTTTTGCTCCTCAGAATTAGAATACAAGTATTTGATGCCAAAGTTAATCTATACAGCGTAACTTAAATACAGAGAACAGACATATGTAATAAGAAAAAAAGTACAAAATGTACCCCAAAAAATTAAATATGTATTTTTATGTTACCCTTAAAATAGGCAACAGCTACATAATAATTATGCAGTGTCTGTAGTTAAAATTCATGTAACTTTGCATTATATCTAATAATGTTCCCGTGTGTTTTACAGCATGAGAAAATACCACAAATTCTCTGTCCTTAGTGTAGGAAATATTGCAGAAACATAAATATGTGCAAAGACTATGTACATAGATGATAACTGTGATGAAACTCTGGCCTAAATGATACAGGGTCAGGATATGTGTTGTATATTATCAAATGGCATTTTATGCTGCATTTTTATGCAGGAAATTCAAATTTTTCTTCCAAATGTGATCACAGCTTTTGCTTGAGTTTAAAAAAAGTACTGTATGAAAACTTTACATTATATGACTTGCCAATATGTTGCTTACTTCTCTATAAAAATGAGATTAATCATCTACTACAGAAATCTGACCTGGTGTAGGTGCATTTAATTTTGCTTTGCCACTTATTTACACCTGCTAAGGATTTGGATTTTAAAACACATACAGGTAGCTGCAGTAGCTAGAAGTAGCTAGTAGCTAGAAGTAGCTAAAAGTTATGAGGGCATAGGTTTCTTGTTACCAGACAGTAAAGTCTGGGCGTACACCTTGAAAATCATTGACAGTAAAAGACCGTGACCGCCTCCTAAGGGTAGGACGATTGGGATTTCTCCCTTTAACCAGATTTAAATAAGGATCAGATCTCAGGAAGCGTGGGTAGCTGTCTTGCTCCATCAGCCTGTAGACTGTGTTCTGTGCTGTGTCAAAGGTGGTGATGAGGGGCTGGTGAATATTCTGACTTGTGGCTTCTTTGGTGTGAAAGTCCAAATTCACCTGGAAAATGAGGAAAAGTGTGTTTATTTAATGTACATTCTTGCATTTCCTGAGTTATCATTCATAGCAATGACATTGTACGTTGGTGAAAGACTTTTTTGATAAGGAGACCTTGAATCCCCAATACAACAGGATGTAAGCACCCCAGAATCAGTATGTTTGTGTTCAGAAATGGCTGTCAGAAAGTCTTCAAAGCTGTGTCACTGGTACAAAGGAAAACAGGTAAACCAGAAGATAAAGTCTGATGCTTGACTAAAAGTGACTTTCTAATAGTGATCTTTGTACAATTGCAGCTCTCAGGCTTCTCAACACCAAACTAATATAGAACTCCCTCCATTCTCATTTAGGTTTCATGTGGAGCTTTGTCTAATGAGGCTGTGTTAGTGAATATTTAAAATTTCTAATTTCTGTGTAGAAACCAGCACAGTAGTACTGTAGGAAGGTGAGAGTAGGAAATAGTAGTAGGTGTGTAGTAGGAAGGTGAGAAAATTCTAATAAAATAAAAAAATATATTTAAATGGGTCTCTGGAGCTTTATATTGGAAAGCATATAAAAATGATTATTTATTCCATGTGCTGTTGCATTCATCCTGGGAAATGTTTATTTGGTATGAGAATTTTATTAAAGTGTCAGGCACTGATTTAAAATGTTATTTTCAAAAATAAGATAGAATATATAAAAAAATTTGTTGATTCAGTCAAAAAGTGAGTTCTATAACATGCTTTCTTTTCCTCACTAAGAGACACCTGTCATTTCCATACAACTAGTTAAAACAAGTAGTTTAGGTCTAAAAACTGAAGGGTAATTAGTGATGATAGAATGGTCCACTCACCTAAGATTTTTCTGAACCTATTGAACTGTATGCTCAGAAATTTGTGTGTAAAAGAGTTCTGTGGACGAGAAGTTAAAGAAAAGGTGCAAACTCCGGAGCTGTGTGACCTGAAATGGGGTGCTGTTGGCTGGTCTCAGCTGCTCAGCTCAACCCAAGAAGGAAGTCTGACCAAAGCCAACTGCTTAAGGTGAACCCAGCACCCACCTACCTGCACCAATTTAAAGTATGACACACAAAGAAATTGCTTGTTTTTTTGTGAGTCAAAGTACGACTTTCGTACCCTGTCCCCTCCTTAAGCTTTCCTCCTGCTCATTAGTCTCAAACTTTGACAGTATCAGCAGTTGTGACCTGACCACAACTGCCCAGGGATCAATCAATTGGCAACAACAGGTTCTGCCTCAAGTGACTCAGGGTGTTCTTTTTACGTAAGGTCCACCCCAAAGGCACACAGCAGGGAAAGAAATGAAAGGGGACACAAGCCTTTGAAAGTGGGCATTTCCTGGGAAAAGAAGACCTGAACTTAAATGTAATCTATGAGAAATACAGGTGGAAATTGTATCATTTTGCAATCTGCTTCTTAAAATGAGAATTACACCTTTTTCACCTTCGTTACAGGGAAGCAGCAGTTAGTGTATAACTTCTGTTATTACGGAAAATAAAAAAAAAATAATAATGCAGGCATTGGCAAGTGACATATTTGATCTGCTCAAACTCAATAGAATTACAGGAAATTGTAAGTCCAAAAGACCTATTGATTGTGATTTCACTGAAAAATTCATCATCTCCCAACCCGTTCATCTCCTCCTTAGGGAAGGCAAAAATATTCCTCTTGCTCATTTCTGAATCCTTTATAACACACTTCAGTAACATGAAGAAGTTGTAAATATGAAAACTTTTTGCACTGTTATAATATTATAAAAAGGCCTTAGTGTTGGTGAGGATTGTCATATCAACGTATTTTTGTGCTGACAGTAACGTAACAAGGATATGCAATTAGAGGTGGAGGAGGTGGAGAAGGGGGAGGGAGTCAATCAAGACAAGTCCATACTTAAAACATAGTTATTATTTTAAAGGATGTATTTAATTTAGTAGTTTCTTCTAATCTCTTTTATTCTTTTAGCTTATTTAAAATAAAAGCTTCTGAATTTCTGTTATGTAATAATTCAATAGATAATTAGTGTTTTAAGAGAAAGGGGGAATAAATTTGTTGTTCTGGAGATAGCTATAAAGACAGGTAATACTTCTCCACAAATGCTAGCTGATATATCTCATTGCAGCTTTAACATTTACTATCACTTTTTTTTCTTAAATATACATCGTGTATGTGTGTATATATATATATCTCCCAGATTTAAAGATCACTAGGAATCACTGATTCCTACGATATAATATATAAATTCATATAGTAACTTGAAGGGGGTATTGAAAGAAGTATGGAAGACAGTGAGAATTATCTCTGCAGATTTCCTTCCAGAGCTTTGATTTTTATTATACATCCTTCTTATGCCAGTGACTACATAAAGTAATTGTTGTATCTGCTTCTGGTCATGCACTTCTTAAAAGCAGATTTCATCAGATGCAGTTGTGTCAAATAGAGGGTAGAATGAAGAAAGTCTTTACCTCCTTTGGAGCATCTTTCTGTATGAATGTTTCAAAAATGGTCTTAGCTTTTGGCAGAAGTTCATGTGCAGTTTTGCTTTTCTTGTAATCCTCGCAAGCTATCCAGAACTCGATGTTCTCCTCACTGAACTCAGTTTTCAGAAACTTTGTAAAGGCATCCAGCCCAGCTACAGAAGGGAAAGTTCAATTGCATTAAAAAATATATCCTTATCAGACAGCTACTCTTTTCACACAATCTGTGCAAAGAAGCAAAACAGTTTGTACTCTCTTTGAATAATATCACATTATGGATAATTAACTTAAAATACATAAAGGTTTTAAAATAAGTGCAGTTTTCCCATTATGATCCTGAGTACTGTAACTCCCATTACAGAATTCTCAACATCAGTAAAAATCCACTACCGAGATCTCATAAATTTAGAAAGAGAAGCAAGCAAAACATGTGGATGTAAGTAGAAGTGACGGATTTTATTCCATCTGAATATCAATTTAGGTTGACCCAAACACTATTTGAATCTTTTCTCACAAGTAAACTGTTCTCCAGTAACAATGTAAAGTGGATGGCTTTCAATATCTTTATAATTTGCTTTATGCTATTGTTGTTATGCTGAGGATATTTTCTTTCTCAAGTGTGCTTAAATCTACAGGAGTCATGCAATTGTATTGATGTCAACTGTTCAAGGAACACAGATTTGAAAAGCACATGGTGTCCAGCACTGTAGCTGAAACATATGTGTGCCCCTCCAAAATGAAAGGAGGAACATATGTGCTTTTGATAATTATGTGAGCAGCAGGCCCTTCCAAAGGATAGGGATCCCAGCTTGGATCCTGTTTGGATCCGGTTTAGAAACAAATTGTATCGGAAGTGACAAAATCTTTTCTTAAGTACATAGAACATATCTTGCAGTCAGGAATATTTGAGCAATATTCAGATTAGATGCTCCTGTTTATTGAAGGAATTCTTTACCATCTGTTATATTACTTTGTTCAATAAAATACAAAAGTTATTTTCAGTTATTTTCACTAGTTAACAGCATGCTGTAGCCTAAGCATGTGAGGAGAGCAGAAACACACACTGCTATAAATGACCCATCATACCTAGTTTAGGTAACTGCCAGGTCTACTTAAGGGAACAACTGGATTTTATAATTTTCCATCAATTTTCCATCATTTTCCATCAATTTTCCATCATTTTCCATCA